TCTTCTAAAAGCTTTTCTCAAATAAGAGAAAACCTTCTTCAGTCAGTTACACATTCATCTTCTGTGGTCTTATTAATTAACCATGATAAGAAAGATAGCCTAGAACTGGCCTATCCTTTCAATTTTACTCATACCGTTCTAAAATTTTCAAAAATCTTACATTTTAAATGATTTTTTTACGACTCACCTGAAATATCCATTATTTACCGTATTCTACTAAGAAGTAACATTTCTCCTCCAGGTGAAGAAACTGTAAAAACCCCTAGATAAACAATGAATGTGTGCAATATAGAGCCTCTTTGGCTTGTTGAGGACAGAATTATCCTTACCATTAAATCATTTTTCCATCATTCAATACTAATAATAACTTTTGTTTACTAATATACTCGTATGTAGAGTCCATTTTATAACTGAACTTAGTGTTGTTGATTGTATTTAATTTATCTCATTATTTTGACAGCCCATGCTATTTAATAAATTGGAGCTTTTGAAAATGAGTGGGAAACTAATGCTGCGTAGACATAGGTAGCATTGTCTATCTTGATCTGCAACGCTAGTAGATGGTCTATGGGGATTCGATCTCAGTAGTTCCAAAATCCGCCACCAGAGGCGCTGGCGTCGCGCGCCATTGACAGGTTGTTGGACGGAATCTGTAATCGAAATTCATGAGTTGGGGATTCCGCCGCTAGATGGCGCTGTCAAACCAAACGGAATCTGTGTGTCATTGGACACCTGTCATGCGTCATTGGGCATCTCACGCATAGATGGCGTTAAAACGTCATCTGTCATACGTCATTGGACACCTGTCATTGATGGGTTGGGCATCTCGCGCATAGATGGCGCCGATTTGTTTGGCGGTGTACAAACCTAACGGAATCTATGTGTCATTGGACACCTGTCATTGATGGGTTGGGTATCTCGCGCATAGATGGCGCCGATTTGTTTGGCGCTGTACAAACCAAACGGAATCTATGTGTCATTGGACAGCTGCCATTGATGGGTTGGGCATCTCGCGCATAGATGGCGCCGATGTCGCACCTGTCTGGTGTTGGCGTGGATTACGGGGGGCATTCAGAACGTGTATACAGGGGTGCATCGAAAAATAGCGGATCGATGGACCGACGGTATATCGTTAAATCGTATATAGCAAGGCGTGACCTAAATAGCGTGGTGGGCTCCTCTGGTCGGTCGGTCGGTCGGTCAGAATGTCTCATAACCTGTATACGATGTACTGTTATTATTATACAGGATGATACCGTTCAAAATGAAAATAGTATAATGAATATTTTATTGAAACATATAGTATATATAACAATAAGGTTGATTGGTGTGTGTGTGTGTATGAAATTTTCAGTTGCCTACAGTGTCGTCTGAATCAATATCGCTGTGTTCTGGTCGTGCAGGTAGATTGAATGATTGTTTTAAGGAAGGAACCGAATGTTTTTTTTTTGTTTGACAACAGGCTGAATACGAAATAAACATAGCTTTCTGAAAAATGTATTTTTTAATGATATACAGATACAAGTTTAGATAACAGAGTTTTTAGTTGATGTAACAAATCCTCGCTGGGGCATGGTACTCCAAATAGAGTCCAATGAAATGGTCCGGTCGCAACAACTTTTCTTGTAAATTCATTAAATTTATAGTAACGAACCGTCCTGTACTGAAAACATTGCGTCGGCTTTATCTGACAGTATTGCAGGGCGTTAGGGAACTTATTAAATATGCTCTAATTTAAAGTCTAATCAAACTAAATGTGGTAGTAGTTAAAAAATATATCCATACCTCTGTGGAGAAAGTCATTAATGTAGTCGCATATTATAAAGGTGTTCGGCTAAGAGTGGCACACTTCTCCCACAAGTTACTATTATTGAATTGTCCTTGATTTGTATAAATAATCGTAAATAAATAACTAAAGCCGCGTACTGATCGAACATCCAACGCCAAGCAAACGAATGCAAGCACATGTGACATTGGCATTTGTTGTTGGAAGACTAGACACTAGATACTAGAAGCGCAAAAAAATGCTGTCCAGACCAAAACAAACCTCCCTTTGATGTACCCATCAAGGAGCGAACGTAATCGAACGCCAACACTACCTTGAAACTATTGGTTTATGTTGGCTCGCGCCGTATACACTGATCCGAACACCTCCAAATCTGTAACCACATGTGCCTTGGTTTGCATTGGAATCTCGGTCTGTACGCGGCTTAACAACTATCCTAAAAACCATTACGTTGCTTCTTCAAAAACTGTTTACATACAGCTTCTATAACTGATAAATCGAAAATACCAAAAAAAGGTGCATGTGTATGCGCTGCAATGAATTCTATGTTTCTCACACGTGTATGTTCATTAAAAATAATTACATCGAACTTTGGGTAACCTTTCCACCCGTTGCCTCATCAACAATTTACTGTTGAAGCATCTAATGACTCTCCATTCCTCACCACCATTGGAAATAAGCTAATAAATACTTTTATGACACGGGTTTCTGAACCCAACATAAAAAATCTGCGATAAGAACGGTCATTCACTGCGCTTCCAAAATAGATCGGTTATCAAATAGCGTACTCAATATTTTGGTATCTTGTATACAACATGGAAGATGCAACGTTAAATAATTATGAAGCTCCAACTGATTCACCGTTAATTAGTATCCAGAAGGCAGGTAAAAGGTCTCGTATGAAAGGTTGAGAAGTAAGTCATTATTGGTCTCACACAAGACAACGATCTGAATATACTTGCGAAGCATCAATTGCATCTTGAATTCACTCACGGTGCTGCCAATTTCTTTTTTTTAAAATTGAATTCATAAATAAGTTAATCTACACACGGCGCATCGCTTGATTTGGATACTGGGCAAGTCGTACCTTTTCACCTTTCACCTTGGAGTCTGAGCTGGCCCATTCAGATTTTTTACGGAACCTAATATCTCAGTTATCTTAAAAGTTTATGTGTTATTAGGAAAATTTGCTCATTGTGCCATGAACTCGACACGCTATGTGAAGGAAAGTCTCATCTCTGAGCATACCGTGTACAGCACTAAATTCAATTTTATAAAACTTATATACTTTCACTGTGTTAACTTGAAACAATTTAGCCTGGTGTCATACTGTAAATCTCGAATGACTGCATTAGGCAGCAGATTTGGATCATAGGCTTGATGCATTTCTATTTCAAAAGGAAGGAGGGTGATACGTTTGTTGGTTGTCTTCCATTATGCTATTATTAAAAACGGTTTTCCAATACCTTCCACATTATGAAAATATCCAAGAAGAGTAGCTATATGACGAGCTAATCGTGATATTTGTTATCTTTCACTTATTTTCAAATATTTCGAAATATGAAGTCTAGTTTTAAGTCCCGGTTTAGTGACATAAATAAATATGTAGTTTTGCTTATGCCTCCATAAGATTTGTTTCAAATATCCCAATACTGAGAGTCGAACTTCAAACAATGGCAAAAATTACTTCCGAATAAAAACGATGAATTCGCGATCTCTCTGATGGACATTTCCATAAAAGCATTTGTATGAATTTGTAATCTTCCATCAGGTTGGCACAAGCTTTAGGCTCCATGAAATGGCGGAAGTGCAACTCTTTAAAAGTGGTTGGCACATTCACCATAGTTTGAAAATAGGATTTTCTGTGTTGCCCTTTTATTATCTCGTCATTCGCTGTTATTAAGTTAATCAATAGAATTGAACAGACCTGTTGAATCATGTTTTCAGAAATAGTTGGATTTTGAATTTTATTATAAAACGAACGTCAATGAACTGAATCTTCTGAATGACTTTAGACTTGGATGCATGTATCTTTTTCAGTTTGATACCTATTTTCATTTTCATTATTACCATTTTTCATAGAAATTCGTGAACATGATTCTACCAAACGTTTCTACCGTTGACGTTTTCACATTGGCTTCGCCTATCTGTCTGAATTTTGTGTCCACTGTATTTGTATCTTTATCTTGTTATACAGTTAGATTTATTATGATAGTTATTTGCTCTCATTTTGTCTGAATATTCAATTACTCAAGAAGTAAAAGTGTGTCACATTATCAGAACAAGCTTCTTATTTAGATATACGAATTTAAATTTAACCTTATGGATACACGTGATTTTTTTTGGCAGGTTTTGCCAATGATCCGATATGTGATCAAAGATACTTGTCAAACGATTATAAATACTAGACTGTGCTTGTTCTCAATCAGCAGAATCAAAGAGCAGAACGTCTTGAGTTTGATGAATACATTGATTTTAGAATCTTATAGTAAAACTTGAAGCAGTACGATTTAGGTTGCTTTCTAAATAGTTCATACATGATACCGTCCGTCCAATTTTAATTGCAAAGTATATTTTTTGTTCAATTGTTCTAGATTTGTATCTCTATCAAAATAAGATAGCAAAGTGTCATCTATTACCAGAATCAAACAATGCGAAATAGGATAGTTGCTCAGTATTTGTTCGTTGTCCTACCTGACCCATAGCCTAGACCATGCTGATCAGTTGCCAAAAGCATGAAACAGCTGTCTCATGGTTGGTCGTCTGTGGTCGGACAGACGAAAGCCATATCAGTAGTTTATAGGTACCTCTGTTATAAACAATTCACTAGATGGCAAGTAAAGTTCTGGGCTTCTTATCGGGCATGGGTATCGTTTGTGAGAAACGGTTTCATGAAATGGCTCAAATCTATACTTGAGTTAGTAATTAGGTGTAGTAGTAACTAGGCGTCTTTTAGATTGAATCCTTACCAAGAATCTTGTTAGTGTTTCGCTGTTTCAAAAATCAGTTTCTTACTATAGTCTTACATAAGTGTACTGAAAAGGCTTTCAAACTATAGACGAAACTTGCATGTCTATGCCAACGCCAAATGCAAAATGTACCGTACTTTTCCTTATCTATTATTTACACAGTAACGATGCACCTCTTCTGCAACCTACTTGTATGTATATGTTTTGCGATAAGGAAAACATAACCTATATATTTTTGATTTCAGCTCCATCGCTCTCGAACGGCGTCATCAAAGAAGAAGAAATGTCACCGATGGCAGCCGTGGCCGCGGCCGCGGCAGTAGCCGCCGCCGAGTACTTTATCAAGTGTCCGCAATGTCAGCAAGGCTGCCAGTCCTTCCAGGCGCTGAAAGAGCATGCGGAGGTCGCGCACGGTGGTGAGGGGGCGGTCGCTCCCGCATCGGGGGTGGGCCTAACCACGGAGATGGGCGGAGCCCGAACGCCGCCCGCCATGACCGGACCAGGCGGTCCGTTCGGCTGCGCCCACTGTCCTACGTCTTTTGCCGCGAAGGATCAGCTCGAGAAGCATGAATTGCTGCACTCGCCTAATGCTCAAGTGGTGAGTTTTTTACTTATTTCAAGATCTTTCATTTAGTTTCAATTGTTTAGTTTACCCCAATGGAGTTTACCCCACCCCCCTCACCGAGAAGCCATGTCGACTTCGCCAGCATCCGTGGCCAAACTAACACCTATTGAAATATATCGCTGTTCCCTTACCTGGCCACTAGTGACGCCAAAATCTATTTTCAATAGGTAAGTTTGACTATGGATACGAACGATATCACCATGACATTCCGATGAAGAAAAGTTCTCAAAACTGTAACTGTAACTCAAAGGTGAAATGTTATGAATGACGAAAGAATAAAATAGGTTTTTAAAAATAGTGTTGATTTAAATACATATTTTTAAGTATACCCAAAGGGAACCCCGGCTTGAAAAACTGCATAATTTGAATGCATACATATGTTATCGAAATAATCAAATCTCAAATAGTCAATCCTAGAGAATGTTGATAGTTCCTTGGAGAGAGCGTTTAAATTTTTGGCAGATCACTGGATATTCAGGGAATATCTACCAAAACATAGGTTTAAGTGGGAAGCCCGGTATGTACAAAACTGGATAGGACACAGAAGAGACTACAAAGCATTTTGAATCCGTTTATAGGAATAATCAAATCTCAAAAACTCAGTCCTAGAGAATGCTTATAGTACCTTGACGCGCCAACATGGCAGAAGCTTTGAGAATGGGTAGAACTAGTGTTTTGATTTTTGGCATATCACTGGATATTCAGGGAACATCTACCAAAAGATAGCATTAAGTGACCAGCCCGCTATGTACAAAACTCAGTAAGAGACAGGAGAAACTGCAAAGTATGCTGGCCCGTTTGTTCTGCCATGTAATAAAGATTGTCAAAGTCACGCATAGTTGGGATAGGACTAAGTCTAATAACGATGGACTAATACTTTACTGAAACAAAGATTGCCTCCATTCTGATTGGATATTTCCTTTGAGAACCTTTGGATCTTCTCAGAAATCCTTAGATTCCCTCAAATTCTTGTGTACCTCCATCATGTACATAGTCTACAGTTATAATAGAATTGCCTCGAATTTCCTTGGAATCTCATCAGATGTCACGAATCTCCTTGTACTGCCTCGGATATTCTTTCAGTGGGATAAAAACTATCCTTAAATACCCTCTTACCTCCTTGAATTACTTTGGAATACCTCGTGTCTCCTCACACTAGGACAAAAAATCTCCACGGCCTAGTACGAGTACCAGCAAGTAGGGCTACATAGGGTAAGCTTCAAGTCTGAACGGTTACAATTATTTTTGTATACTTGAACCACTACGAAAGCCTAAGTTCTAAAGACCCATTGGCTACCGTGAAGTTATAGAGTAATACAGGGGAGAAGGGGAACGCCACACGTTTTCTAGCGAGAGAACACGTGTGTGTCCATGCAACATGCATACATTCTGGTTCCGTCTTAGAGATCCGCCGGGTGATAACCTCCGCGTTCGACATACAGAGACCATCTACCACCTACGGACAATCACAGCATCTATAGCCAAGAGAACAATTTCGCTTAGGACGAGATGCGAACCCGAGCATCGCACGGTGACTGATTAGTAGACCCATAACGTCTACCACTACGACACCGCTGCTGCCTTATAATTAAAAACAGAGACAAAAGAATTTCGTAGAGGTAAAAACTTCACATAAGAAGCTTTGGGCAAACTTTTTGCGATCACATTTTATCAGCGACAAAGTTTTATATAGACAGATTAGTTTATCGCCCGCTTGTGATCTTGTCCTGTCAAATTTGTCCAAATGACAATATTTTACCTCCTCGCCTCATTTATACTTTGTATTGTTAATAGCATTCTCAGAATGTATGTGTTTAAAACCAACTAGCGAAAGTTTGAGCTATAAAAACGATTAATATTATTTGCCAACGTAGGTTTGGCACTGCTCCAACCATATATATTTTATTGAATTCTGTTGTTTACATTCAAATCGAATAATATTTGAGGCTTCAGCGAAAAAAGGTAAATAAATCTGTGGTATAGTTATTTTTAAGGTACTTTGAATATGTAGGTCAAGAATTTATTGTTTTTTGTTCTGTTATCCAGATGATATACTGTGGAAAAGCACTACACATGTAAGATTTATATAAGAAAGCTTAGGCATATTCTCACAGGAATATGTTCTGTTGTATGTTTTCGAATCCCTAGATGGGTCGTAAGCACACAGAATGTTACAGTCGCGATTTGTTATCCTCTTTTGTCATCAAAGGTCTTTATTGCCGATGAGAGGCAGACCTTCGAACTAGAATATGTCTAAATTGTCTCGAATAGAGATTATATTGAGCAAGATAAATCAAATAGAGCATTACTATTGACACCGTTTTTTAAAGTCGAAAAAATCACAAAATCAAAAATTTGTGTCAGCATAATTTTCCTAATCGTGAATATATATACAAAGTTGTGTAAGAGAGTCACCTTTAAAAAGTAGTTCATAAGTATGGAAAAGTTCAGAATCACTAAGATATTATTTAACCATTAAACAAACCTCGCGAATCATCAAATCAAAAGATTTCAATTTCAACATATCAATTATTCTCGATAAAAATAGAAAATTTGGGCCACGATATGCTAAACAGTCGTCGCGCATTATTGTTAATTAATAATAATTGCTCCACAAAGCTCCAGCAATAGTTTCTATCAACGTTTAATCAGTTCTATAACGTCAATGAATTCCTGAAGATAAGTAAAAAACATTGACCCATTTGCAAAAGATACACAAATATTTACATTTTTTCGAATCCTTTACTGATGATTATAATATTTATCAATGATGTTTACATTACAAAAATATGCTAGAACGAAACTTCCTTTTACACAAGTCCAGATTATTGCAGGATCTAGAGGAATATAAAGTTGCGATTGAATTGTCAACCGTTACGCAAATTTTGTAAACAAAATCCTTGCCCAGCCGATGTTTTTGCAATCTTATTATCCAATATCAAAAAGCAATCTGCTATGGGCATAGCAAGTGATGATGCTATGTATGTAAAACCAAACTAGCCCGTTCCATGTAGAGGATGCTCCCCAAAGAAAAATGCAAGTGATCGTATCATTAACTATTCCAAAAATATTTGAATCTTTATTTGAAAGATAAATCAGGAAAAACGAACAGCTCAATTTTAAGGTATATTCAAAACTATTGACGCATATGCTTCGCAAAGTAATTGATCTCTAACTGGTACTCAACTTTAAAGCTATTACATTCAAGGAGCAAAACAGTTTTTCTTGTATCATAACTAACAAGGGTGGTTCCAGCTCTTGAGAGCGGGGTCACTTAGGTCGAGCTTCGGTAAGGTCAGGCAACAATGCGATTAAAATAATATATCTACTTAAAAAATATTTTGTTGTTGAATAATAAAATCAAGTCTTCTTTTTTATATTTTCGAGAGGAACCATTGATGTATGTCTTCAGCATCTACAGGTATATTTTTGCGAAAGTAAAGAAGTGTCTGCTCTTCTGCCATATTTTGAGCGTCCTGAGAGTAGAAAAGTACATCGTTACTGTCGCTAGACTAGCTGGTAGTATAACAAGGATGTATAGAAACTTTTTGATGGCATACATTTTATTATCCTGGATCCCCATGATGAAGTACAGTCCCGTTTAATTTTGTTCCAAACGAAAAAAATCCAGATTGAAATCGTTTATACCCCTTGAATACTATGCTACTTCAAAAGGAAACAAACACATGTAAGCTTATCACAAACACTCTTCTCTCCATATTCAAAAGCTTGTGTCCGCCATGGGTCTTCAAAACAAAACGTTTTTCAAATATCATATTGGTAATTAATTATTATATGTTTAACCCATGTTCCCACTTGTAGTTAACAGGACGGTGTGGTAAGGCGAAAAATCTCCTGTATTTCTTAAACAACATGGCGTCGCACCGACAAATGTGAAACGTGCCTTAAGTAACTAAGACTCTGTGTATTAGATCAGTTGAAACCTGATATAAACGCTCATTCCAGTTGCTCTAACAACTCTCCTATGCATAAAGCATAAAAAATACATTAAATTAAACTTGTTCACACGATACAGTAAGCATGCACAGCACTTGACTCGCATATGGTATCTAAATTTTTTCAATATGCCTGTCATCATCTTGAATATCCCATACCAGCCATAGCCAGTCCTATAATTATAAACATGGGCGCCCACCGGAATTTTTCCTTATGGCGGCCGCAATCTTAGATAAACTTTGTTATCATGTAATTGCGATATTATGTTGGAAATGAGAGAAGAATCAGTTCGTTCCATGAACAGTTTAGTTAAATCTTTAAAATTGATGACACTGAGATGGAAATATATCGATCAAATGCCCACCTACAGATGAGTAATAATTTTATTGCATTTTTAAATGTTGTTTTTTTGGGAATTCTTAATGCATGGATGTACTGCAAGAAACCACAAACCTTAAAAGGAAATGCTGAAGAAAAAATCACTTGAGTACAAGTATCACATAATTATAAGTAGTTCGTAAGACACAGCCCTTTTCCATTTCCAAGAGACTGACTGCTAAATTACACTGTGACAATAATCGCATTCGTTTTACACACAGTCTCAGATACGCTCACCTTAATGCACACATTCTTTTCACCAATGAGGTGAGATGTTCAAACCAACCGCAGCTGGATGAGATTTGTAATCACCAACCGTTTTTAGGTTAAGTTGATTTTGTTTATGCGAATTCAAATTGTAAAATGTTTTACTCTGCTTACGATTATATTCTTGCGGGTATCCATGTCGGCAAACTACAAAGATGTTTAGTCATGAGTGTAGTTCTATGGTAAATCAAAAAAAAATTAGGTTATGTTATGAAGGTCAGCTCAGCAGTCTTTTTCGAACTCGAAGAGAGCCAGACATACACTGATGTGACAGCTTCATCTCTGTTGGGACTGTCTCACTGTATACCGCGTACATGAATGAGCCTTCAAAAGTCTAAAGTGCGTATAGTCTTTGCGGTCGCTAGGAAAAA